TGAATCAGTTAACTAAAATTCGTCAGATTTGAATTTATATTGAAATTAATTCTGACGATTTGAACTAATTAATATTAAATTTACTTAAATTAAATCGAGATGGGATCATTTAAATTAGTCGGGGCTGTCAAAGTGAAATTGAGCTCGAGTCAAGTCGAATTGGCTCAACATCAAACCGAATTGAATCGACATAGCCCAATTCAGTATAGATTAGATTGGATCAGCTTTTAATTAATTCGTTATCAGCTCGACTGAGTAAATGGAAATTAAATTACATTATTTCAATTTGATTTAGTTAAGATTTATTTAATTGAATCAGGTTCAATTAGTGTTGAACTTGTCTTTATTTAAATGGATTTGTTTTTTATTGCATCGATTTGCTATATTTTACATTGACTATAATCAAGTTAACCCAATTTGAGTTGATGGGTGTTGATCAAAACCGTCAAATTCGAATTAAATAAGAGTTGAGTCATATTGATTCGATGAAGTTCGATTACACTGTCTTGCTTGGAATCAACTTGGTTTTGGTCGGATTGAGTTCGACTCAACTCAAATTAAGACTTTCGATAAGATTAATTGTTGATATTGATTTGAAATATGGAGACAACCCTATCACCTTCTCAGAGTCATCGAGGAAATATTCTGAAAGGTTTATTGGACATCTATGGTTGGTTGGCACCCCGTCATTGTGCATACACTTAAGGGGAAAATCCTAAAGGTGGTTTCTACACTATGGTAAGAAAATCTAAAGGCTAGGAGGAGGTGATAGAAGCCTAAAACCTCACTAAAAAAAAGTGATCAATACAAAGTACTATGGCATCATATGCTAAATTTTCTGACCATTTATGACATGTTAATCTCACGTCAAAGTCTACTACTATGCGTACATTCTAGATTTGTGTAGGGTATCGTCCTCTAAAAAAGGATTTATGCTTGTTAGAGACCCTAAGTTTAATGTATTTTTCATTAATAGTTTCAATACAATCGTAAGTTCCGATGGCTAGGGTTTTCATGCATCTTCTTCTTCGCTCCGTGGTCGCCTTGTGGGTAATCTACTATGTTTCTTCGTAATTTCTCTCGCTTTCCTTTCATTTTTTCTCCTTCGTCCATTTTTCGGGTTGGAATGGTTATTTATTGGCTTATTGATCTCAAATTTTTGGATTGCAAGGCGAAATCGCGCTCCTTTAGGGAGGTTCTATCTGGGGCTTTGTCCCCGCAAGAATTTCCTGATCTCAAAATCACCACTTTCCATGGTCTTCCTTCTCTTTGGATTTCTGATGATGAAACGTTGGCCCTGGCAGCTCCGTTTGAGTTTGCTTTGGGCGGAAAATTTACCAGTCGTCCTCCAGCACTCGATTCTATCCATAATTTTTTTTCCAGCTTATAGTTAAATGACAATTTTTCTGTTACTATGCTAAACATTAAGAACATTTTGATTAAGTTGATGAAAGACCTAGATTACTGTAAGATTTTCTCTCATCGTTCTTATTTTGTTAGCAATTTCTATATGAAGTTGTTTAAATGGACACCTATTTGGATTTCTTTCCCAAATCTTCGTTCATATCTCTTCTCTCCTTATGTGCTTCATGGACTTGGGTCTTTGTTTGGATATCCCTTGCGTACCGATAATGCTACCTCGTTTGGAACAAGGCCCTCGGTTGCCCACATTCTTGTGGAGTTAGAAGTTACTAAGTGATATCCCGACCAAGTTTGGCTTAGTTCTGAAAATATGGGCTATATTCAACAGGACAAAATGAAAGATTTTCCTTTTTATTATTCCCAATACAAATTTTTGGGTCATTCAAAAGCTGATTATCTGATGTTGCATCCCCATTTAGCTGTATGTCCCACCCCTCCTATTGGTAATGTGGAAAGTTTAGCTGAGCTGCCTAGGCTTTATACTACGGGTGCTAAGCATGTTCTTTTGAATGTGTTTATTCCTCTTGTATCTTTGTATGAAAATCTTTCTCTCATTAGTGAGGCGGGATTGCCTATTGGGTTTCTAAGTGCGAAGCACTATTAAAAACTTCAATAACAACACAATTAAGAGGATCAACCACACCAGGGAATTGGCCCTATTCCCTGATGCCTTGGGTGATTGTGAAATACAATGTGATTTTTTACCTAGAGGTGTTTCTACTCCTATGGTTGTGGACTGTTCAAAGGAGGAGGATATTACTTTATGTGAGGTTAATAGGGAAGTTGGGCATGAACTATCTAATGATTCAGTTCATGTTGTTTCACCTCAAAATTCGGTTGATTTGGCTTTGACTATTGCACATGTGGGTAAGGTCGGGATTGAGTCTTTTGTTGCTTGTGAGTTGGATCCTACTGTTGTTTCTCCGGTGATGCCTACTGTTCAGATGTATAGACAACTTGTTGAGGTCCCATTTACTTTACTTATGCTAATGCTTTGGCTGCAAATGTGGGCGTCAGATTGGGGGACAGTGTTAAGATGCAAAGTGATTGGCTTGAAAGCTCTTCTCCTTCTTCAATTGAGGTTTAGGAAGAGGAAGTTTTTGATCAGCAAGGTATATTGCGAGATAATAAAGTTTGGGTGGGTAAACGTAGAAAGCGAAAATAAAAAAAATAGCTATTTTTTGGTTTGCTTGGTGGCTGCTAATTTGATGTTTTGTGTTTTCTTTTGTTGGTGACTTTTTGGTTTTTCTGGATGTGGTTTTTTCTCTTTTGGTTGAATTGTGATTTTGAGGGTTGGCTCTGTTGTTATAACTTTTATTCTTTGGGCTATGATGTGGCTTCTAGCTCACCACTTTTGATTCGTGGCTTGTTGGCAACCTTTGGTGGTGTTTCTTCTTGTTTTCGTTGGAGGCCTTTTTTTTGTGTTGGCGTTTGGGTGGCTTTTTGGTGTATTATTGCTCTTTAACTCCTCTGGATGGTCCGTGCCTGACTTTGGAGTGGTTGGAATCCTTTGCCAAATATTGAGCACGATTAGCTTTTGTACCATGTTTATCTTCTCGGTCTCCTCAATTGTAACCTTTTTATGCATTCAGTCCTTGTGTTTATTTGACCCTTGATGTACCATTATTTTTTGATGGAATAATTTTTCTTTTTAAAAAAATAGTTTCATTACAATCCTAATTTGGATAAACTATATTAGTGAGTGCACTTATAAACCACAATAGTAGGCACTCTTGTTGTACTCATTAAGTTCATTTCATAACTTAAGTCATTTAAGATGCTCACTCAGAAGCCTCCTCGATAGGTCATCCATGGATAGTGGAAATCATCCCATTAATGTGAATCACATATGGTAGGATTGGTTCACTACAGACCTCCTCCATCATTACCTTCATCGGCCTTCATCCTACATTATCAAGTACTAATTATCTAATTTTACCTGCCATAATGAGGTTTTCCACGAAGTTCTATAGATGTTAACAATCTTCGGTGTTATGGCCATAGCTATGATGGTGGACCATCGATCCTCATGTGCACCAACCTTTGGAAGAAATCCTTATTTTGAGGGATTAACTAAGTTGACCATGGAGATTCACAACAATGTCATAATAAGTAGGAGATGAATTTGAGGTGACAATTTCCTCAAGCCATTAGTTAACATTACATCGTTGCTCATGTCTTACTCTCCCATAAAATGGATAAGCTCTTTGATGATGGGTGAAACTTATCTACGAATGATAAAATCTTTTTTTAGACCTTTGACTTTTGTGATACTTCTCTAATTCCTAAGAAATTGCTTAATTTTTCTCTCATATATGACTTTTTTCTTTTCTCTTAGCCATAATAGAGGCATTAGTCTCCATATTATACTCCTTAACATTTATATGACTATTGGATAGTTTGAGCAACTTGGCCAAAGTCCCTAACTATTGCAAGACAAGTTCATACGAAAACATTCCTTGCAACCCTTGGGTGAGAGTGGCTCGGGTGGTTGTTCACTCTAGATCCGTCACATCAAGCATCTCCTTTTGAAATAAAGTGATGAAACTACTAAGTAATTGAATCAATTATTTCCCCATCCATAATAAGGCTTAAGAGTTCTTTAGTGACCTTAGAGCATTATCAGATTGTATCACAAACATGCTCTTAAACTTGGTGAAAGAGGTGATGATGCCTTATGGTAGAAACAAGAACCACATGAGAAGTGATTGCTTGAAGGTAGTGAAGAATATCTTATGCTTCGATGCATCAATGATATCAAGAAGATAAACAACATAATCATATGTTACATGGCTGTGGACCTATCTTTCTCTTGTATGAATCTAGATGAGGCATTTTTAACTTTACTAGAGGCTTGGCCTTTACAATCTCCCTTAACAAGGGATTAACAAATGGCAACCTCTTCTTCAAAATTTTCCTTTTTTTAATTAAGAGTTAAAATTAACTCCTCACTATTAAGGTAATTTGTCTCAATGGAGACTAGGATGATGGTCAAGGCTTTAGCTCGAGAAAGTATATTACTCTTTACCATAAAATTAGAGGGTCCTTCAGGCATTTCCACTTTAGGAGTGGTTCTTAGCATTCTCTCTAGCGATCCTTCGATTATTTGGGTTATCTTCTATTGGAAAGTATAATCTCACAGCAAAACAAACAAGGAAAATAAAGTGCACTAAAGAAGGAAAAGTACCATGATTTAATGTGGAGAAACCTAAAATTGAGAAAAAATTAAAGAGCCAAAGGACACTAATAAATCCACTATGAAAATTGGGATAAACTACACATATCTCTCTTGTCTCTTCTCTCTCTCTCTTTCTCTCTCTCTCTCTCTCTCTCTCTCTCTCTCTCTCTCTCTCTCTCTCTCTCTCTCTCTCTCTCTCCACTTCACTCACGGCTATACACACATAATAGACAAAAAGATGTACTTCAATTACACCAAAAAACATAACTCTTCAAGTGAAATAAGAAGAAGATGAAAAAAAATTGCTCAGTCGAACACATAGCACTACGACACTAAAAGTACATCTTTAGGATTGCACTTTTTGCCTTTAGCAGGACTCCTAGCACCACGATGTTAAGGGTTGGAGCCACAACACTCTGCTTTTTATCTCTAGCCCAAACCTGAGGCGTTGCAGTTCTTTAGCATATAACGCCACAACACTGCACTATTGTACTGACGTAAATTTTTTTTGCAACCCCCAAGCAAGCTTTTTAAACTCCAATAGAAATGAGGTATGACTCAATAGTACAACCCGGTTGAACGGCACAATTAGATTCTATATAAAACTAACATCATCTCCTTAAATTCAACATGTTAATAACAATCACAAACTTTTGATTTATGTTAACATATTCTTCTCATCCTCTATGATATTTTTTTTTACTTAATGTAGTATTCCTATTCTAGTTACTCACATGCTCTATGCTTACGACACCTTTTAAGATGCTAAAACTATAATTATCTGTGAATCAAACCCAACTATATATTAAGAATATTGGGTGAAAGAGAGAACATATGAATAGGGAGAAAAAGAAAAATTATAGAATAATAAGCATTATGATTTAAGTAAAATACTACTGAGTATAAAAAAATTGTATAAATTGAGCACACCTTTCAACCACCTATCTATAAATTGTAGTTAAAACTTAAGCTCTATATTATTATCTACATACATGACTATATAAGAAATAAGAGAGTATAATAATTGTATAACCTGATCGAAAGGTTCAACTGGATATAATTATCTGCCGAGTAGATGAATTGTCGATTAATAGGTTATCATAAGAATTTGTCCCTCCTTGTCGCAGCCATTCGCTCCGCTTGCCCCTTTCACTCTGCTAGGGCTTTTGCCCTAGCTGCTCCTCCGGTGTATTTTTGATGCTCTCCACCTCCCTTTTTCGGTCGGCATCCATCTGCATATTTTAGAGAAGTTGTCTTTCCTTTCCGGCTTACTTTTTAGCTTTTTTCGTTCATTTTTTTTTTCGGGTTGTCAACCTCGTCTTTCTTCCTCTAGCCTTTCCTGGCCGGAATGGCGGTCCGGCGGGTTGCTGATCCAGGTTTTTTGAATGTTTTCTTTAAATCTCGGTCGTTTGCTGAAGCACTTTTTGGTTCTTCCTCGTTGGAGTGTTTCCCGGAGCTTTGTCATGGCTCTTTTCGTGGTTTACCTTCATTATGGATTTCTGAGGAGGAAATTAATTCTCTGGCTGTGCCTTTTCAATTTGCCTTGGTCAGTTTTTTCCCCAAACATCGTCCTTCTCTTGATGCGATTTGAATTTTGTTTCTCTTTGAAACTTATTTCTGAGTTCTCTATTACGGTGCTTAATTAGAGGCATGTGCTGGTTAAACTCTCCAATGACCTATACTATAGCCGTGTGTTTTTCCATCGTTCATATCTAGTGAATAACTGCTTCATGAAGCTCACTAAATGGTCTCCGCTCCTTGACATTAGCTGTGAATCTCTGATCATTCCGATTTGGGTTTCTTTTCCTAATTTGAGACCTCATCTTTACTCCCCCCATGTCCTTCATGCCTTAGGCTCTATGTTTGGTAGACCCTTGAAGGTTGATTATGCAACTTTGGTAGGATCTCGGCCAACCCTAGCGTGTGTGTTGGTGGAGCTGGACATAACCAAAACTTACCCTTCCCAAATTTGGCTCGGGCCAGAGATATTTGGGTATATTCAAAAGGTGCAATTTGAGAATTTTTCTAATTTTTGTGTGTGTTGTAAATGGCTGGGCCATTTTCGTGGTCA